GGCCCCCCCCCCCCACCCGAGTGCACAAATTTTTGTGCACCGGGCCTATAGTATATATATAACAGGCTAATATGCAAAGTGTCCCCTCGGGAGTTCAACTGGGAGACCGGGAGTTCGATTGCTCCCTGCTACGTGCGCTGACCACCAGGGGGCAGCGCGGAATGAAGGAAGCCCCCAACTGGCAGCTGGAAGGCCCCGATTGGCCCTGATTGCTGGCCAGGCCTAGGGACCCTACCCATGCAGGAATTTCATGCACTGGACCTCTAGTAGCTTTATAAAGACTTGCAGAGGTAATAGGTCCTGTTTTTAGACGGTTATTAGTAATTTTTTCTAACACATTTTAATGGAATTGTAGGGATATTTGCCTGGTTTCCTTGGTTTTGAAGAATTTATAGGAGGTGAAGATCCAGAGCTTATAAACTGATTCTCTGTTATTTTACTGGATTTGATTTGCGGGTGTATGTGTAATCTTTATTATATGTTGGTGGACTTGGCTTGATAATATTTTGTTGAAGGTTTTGTGTGTATATTCATAAAGGATATTGCTGTATTATCCTTTTAAACTTTTGAAGTCTTTTTCTGCTTTTGGTATCAGGATAATGCTGACTCATTGAATAAGACTGAAAGAATTTGTGAAAGATTGGGTTAATTCTTTTTTAAATGTTTGGTAGAATTCACCAGTGAAACCATTTAATTTGGGTTTTTGTTTGTGGGAAGTTTTGTTTTTTAAAAAATATATTTTATTAATTTTTACAGAGAGGAAGGGAGAGCGATAGAGAGTTAGAAACATCCATGAGAGAGAAACATCGACCAGCTGCCTCCTGCACACCCCCTACTGGAGATGTGCCCGCAACCAAGGTACATGCCCTTGACCGGAATCAAACCCGGGACCCTTCAGTCCACAGGCAGATGCTCCATCCACTGAGCCAAACCGGTTAGGGCTGTTTGTGAGAAGTTTTGATTACTGATTCAAACTCTTAGGTTTTTATGGGTCTGTTTAGATTTTCATTTTCTTCTTTAGTTAGATTTGGTAGTTTTTATCTTTCTAGGAATTTATCCATTTGATATAGGTTACAAAAATATTGTTTATAGTTTTCCCTTATGACATTTTTTTATTTCCATAGGTTGTTAGATTATAATATTCCCCCCTTTCATTTCTGACTTTGCGATATATCCTTGTTTTAACTCATCCAGGCTGATACAGTGGAACGTCAGTTCTTGAACTTAATTTGTTCCAGAAGGCTGTTCAAGAAGTGGTTTGTTTGAAAAACCAAGTCATTTTTTCCCATTAGAAATAACGTAAATTAAATTAATGTGTTCCAGACCCCCAAATAATTAGCTATTTTAACCTTTCTTAATTGCCTGTGATCATTGTTTTGTGAGCACTTTTACACCGTTAGCCACATCTGCACTTTTTGTTCTTGTTAATCCTCACCTGAAGATATTTTCTCCATTGATTTTTCAGAGAAAGTGGAAGAGAGGGATGCGGGGAGACAGAGGAAGTGAGAGGGAGAGAGAGAGAGAGATTGCAAAAGAGAGAGAAAAACATCGATGTGAGAGAGACACATCGATTGATTTGTTGGGACTGGGGACCAAACCTGCAAACCCGGTACGTGCTCTTGACTAGGAATCCAACCCGTAACCCTTTGGTGCGCTGGCTGATGCTCAAACCACACTGGCCAGGGCATATCAACATTCTTTTTTTTCCTTATCAGCATTGTTGATGGCCTCTTTATGTTTTAAAATTGTGCTAATGATCGATTTCACCATGCCACACTCAGTAGCCGGATCAGACATGCAAACAGCTCTGTCATACTTTGCAATTATTTCTTTTTTAAGCTCTATCATTCTCACAACTTTCCTTTTCACTTTGCTGCTATCATTAACTTTCTTAGGACCCATGGTAACTTACTGTATGTATTTAATAATAATAATAAACATTAATAAAAGCAAAACAACATGAAAATATTCAGAGCACAATTTCCTGGGAGGTTTAGTGGGAAACTGACTCATACTCTCATTTGCACATTCTCTCATTTGTCGCCTGAGAGACCTGTGAGTGATCATACAGGTATCAGCATGAAAGGGTTGTCAGTCAAGAACCTGACAACCAAGACATTTTCCGTGAACATCGGAAGATGTTCAAGGACCGAGGTTTGACTGTATAACAAAATACTACAGACTGTGTAGTTTATAAATAACAGAAATTCATTTCTCACAGTTCTGGAGGCTGGGAAATCTAAGATGAAGGTGCCACCATGGTTGCATTCTGGTGAGAGCCCTCTTTCCTGGGTCCTCATGTGATAGACAGGGATAGGGATCTCTTTTATAAGAGCACTAATTCCATTCATGTGTGCTCCACCTTCATTACCTAATCACCTTCCAAAGGCCCCACCTTCTAATATCACCAGCTTTTTGAGTTATGATTTCAACATAGGAATTT